AATGTCAACCCCTTACTTCTTTGGATTCTATCCTTCGTCAAAACAATTCAAGGTATGCAAGGCTAGCTGGACCGCAGGCTTTATAAAAAAAAATTAAAAATATCTATATTTTGCTCATTACATTTGCAATTTATATCAAATATTTAAGGCTTATATGAGGAACGCAAATGTTTTCATATGAATTTTTTTTTTATTATCATAGATTTGATGGACACATTCGTGCACGGTTCTTCAACAGGATTAACTCACTAGTTTATAGTGAAGTGCGAGAATTATGGTTCTGTGCTTGTCACAAGTACAAAATGAGGGAGCTGTATTCTGGATGTCCTCAGCTCTATTTCGTTGGACTATTTAAAGTAAACTTGTTGTAATTCTGAATACCTAAAAGAGAAAGAATAGAAAGGAGTACGTTCACAGGCACCCACACTCTAACAAGCTAACTGAAAGAGCGTGGTCTGTGAACGTCCTCCTTGTTTTCGTTATTTCTATTTCAAGGACTCTACTTTGTTCAGCTCCCCTTTTCATTGTAAGTCACGGGGATAATTCGCTTTATTTTAAGTTTTTGCCGTTGTTTGTTGTGCTTTTCTTTATCCTAACCTTCATCTACTGTTTTATTTGTGTTTACATAGAACAGAGCCCTTACTGAGCAATTCGTGAGGCTGCTTATCTCATTTCCTTCTCCGGTCTGTTTTCCAAATATTAGTTACGACACATGTTTCCGTGGTCGTGGAGTCCGATTCCCACCTCCCGTTTTCTGCAATATAAGCCCCGATCAACGTCGAGTTTTTGCCCCAAAACCGCAAATCAGCGATAAAAAATTCTAAATCTGGCGTAAAACAAAACAAAACAAAAATCCTGTAAAAAGAAACTTCGAAGAATACAAACTACAAAATCACTGAATCCTAGTTATTATGGTGTACTGATCGTCCCCCCGATATTTGACGGGTGTGAGCTTGCCGCCTGAAAGGACAGGCAGTAGACATGTTTGTGATTTGACTTGACTTGGCTCGAGAGAGAAAGCCTTCAGCATCTTATTAACCACAGGCGACTTTTCTGCTGCAAAAGAGATAAACCTAGGGATTCCCTTTCTTTGAAGTGATGAGCTCAGGTCTTCTGAAACTGTAGCTGTTCCCGGGATATATTGACTAAAGGATTCTACCTCCCGGCTATAATATTAACATAAAGAATGGCGTAATTGCTTAAAAGAGACCATCGACCTTCTTATGGAGTCCCAAGTGAATGTCACGTACAACGTTTTTGGGGTGTAACAAGATCTCACTCGACTGAGACATATCCAGAAATATTTGTTAATTCCATCGTTCTACATTCGCTGCGTGCGTTCCATATACATTAATACACATGGCAATGATTGGTACTTGAGCTTGCTCAACAGGAATGTAGACACGCAAGAATATTTTTCGTGTTATAATTACACGACTGCCCCAAATTAGTGCGGTTTTATCAGGTATGGTTCGCCAGATACGGGCGATACCGTGTAAATAATTTGTCGACTTACTCGTTTGGATGATCTCGGACGAACGAATATCCAAGACGGTTTTTGTAGCCTTCCAATGTATGACCGCTTTAAACAATAGCTGGTTAAGAGGTTCGTGCGGTTGTCATTGGTTAAAGTTACCCGCTGAAATCAGTGTGACACGTCCACTCTTTTGAAAGGCAGTGCGGCTGTGGCTTTTGGATCGACATTGGGGAGGTCACCCGTTATCGATTGGCGCTGCCTTCTTTAGTGCGAAAATATCAAAGGGATAGCTGGTTGACCGAGTTTTCCGCGCGTGCCTCGTTACATGATCGATTCCGACCTTCAAAATATTTGTACCCGGTGTGCCTCTCGCTGATCGCTGTTTGCTATTGACAGAACATATTGATGGTAATGCCATTGCGTTATCGAGTGCTTGATCGATCTTAGGCTCCCATAAATCATGTGTTCGACTGCCTCTTATTTAGCCGACTGGCGTTTGTACGCCACGAACATACAAAGTGCACTGAAGGGTTTTTTGGGCTCTCATGTGTATGGCTCTGACATGGTCTGCTTTGCTTTGTAAGAGGCCTATTTAAACATTATAGGAAAAGAAAGGTGTGGTGATTCCCGGGTATTATTTCCATTCAATTTCAATTTCAATTTTTTTTCAATTTAAATTTTATTTTCCAACATAGTGTTGGGGGTCCCCGGGCGAAAAAGCTGTGGTTTGCAGGTTGAAAGTGCCTGGGGGCCCATACAGACAGCAACGTTTTGTGGAAAAATACAACAAATATGACGCGTAACAAATATGAGTACACGTAAACACCGTATGAATGTATACATTTCTATATGACACATGTAAAACTCTATATAAAGATTATCAATAGTTGATGGAATTATAAATGACATAGATCAAATTTTCCCAGATGGCTTGTTTTTTAGTAAAAATTACAATAAAGGCTTGAACACCAAAACTTTGCCATATACAAGATAAAGACTAATGCATTATCATCTATTGTTTACAAAACCATTCTCGCATTTTTTACTAGTAAATTTATAACAGTTAATAGTTAGTTCTAGATACTTGTTTAAAATAAAAGGTAAATGTCAACGACTGCGAGAAGTATTCAGTGCGCCAACGCGGCACTAACCACCTGTCACAGCTGCGGGTGCGAGAGTCACTTATTTGTCTCGATAAGTCAGATGTCATTCTTAAAAATGATCTGAAACTTTACGCGAATATAGAGTGCAGTAAACGAAAATCATCAATATTTTTTACGCCTATTATACCATAATGTGTGAACAATTGTACGGTTGATTGCAAGCGCCTTGTCCTGTTTCCCTTCGTCTGTGTCCCCGTATTTTTTCGGCGCTTTTTGCTCGCAGTACGAAAGCCCGACGACGTGGACAGCGCGCGCATGCGCATGCCTTCTCTCGTCTGTAGTCTCTCCACGCTGATGGGGGAGGATGTGGCGCTGCATTAGCGCCGGGAGGTTTCGGTTACGCCCTCTGGTGATTTCCGCTCCCGACGTCACGACCAGGATTTGCCTCACCGCGATTTGCAAGATTTGCCTCTGCCTCACCGTGATTGGAAGGATTTGTCTCGCCGTGAACTGGCGATTGGGCAGGCATTATCAGTGTCCAGGAAGCTGTAGTTTAGCCAATCGCGAACTTCGACCACAGCGACGCTTTTGGTGGCGCACCTCGCTAATATGCGCTGTCTAATGCAAATGAGCGGAATAGAATGTATTCACCTTGTAAAGTATTTAGGGTCTCTTCCAGGCCAGGTGAGATCTTTCTAAATACTTATGTGGCGCTGATTAGGGGAGGTGCATATTTCACCCGTCGAATGTCAACAGTCATCCGTTAGCCGATCGCAAGCCGCTTGTCCCACGCGGCGAGGGAGCGGGGTGATAATCGTCCGCCATCAGGAGTTTGCTGAAGGGTGCTTGCTGATACCCTACCACTTTAATAAGCGCCTTCCATTATCAACGTCAAATAGAAGTTTAGTCGCGTTTCGTATTAAGCGAATAGGCCTCCCAGGACACTGGTTCTAGCTTTATTTAGGACGCATACGGAGACCAAGCTATCGCCAGCAAAGCGAACTTGAAACCTCCTTAACTTTTCAGCGCTTTTCAAGGCAACTGGGGCTTAACCGTGCACGCTCCAAAACGGATTGCGTTTGGCTCGGTGTCACTTAGGAGGCTGATATTCGAAAAAAAAAAATGTCCACGTGACTCTGATGTATTCAATGAAGCATAAATGCGTAGAATCAGTGTTCGGTGGAAACGACTGGCTGGATACCTTCGCCCAGTTAAGATGCACGGCCAAATGACTTTCGTTCTTGCCAGTGACTTCCTCGCACGAGATATTGCAGAAAAATATCACTTGATAGATTTACGCTTTCACTCGTCTGACTTGGATAGCGCCTGCGTGCGGTCGTGCGCTATCACGTTAAAAAAATGCCTTCACATCTACTTACCCGCAAAACACTCAAAGAGCCAATCTCTGCGATCTAGGAAATCAGCTCAGCGAATCATGAGACAGAACATCTGGTTAGACCTAAAAATGAAGTCTCTGCTGTGGCATTACGCAATGCAAAGCGTATGCAGACACTCAAGGTCTCAGGAAATATGTAAGGAGGCAGCTTAGTGAAGGCCAAGACACTGAAATGTTTATTATTGAAAAAGTAGACACCTTGAGCGATGATGTATTAGAACGCCCGTATATTGGTAGCATTTCGTTTTAGCACAAGTAGGTCACCTTCAGGACGTAAGAAAGTGAATCTGAAACTGATTATGCCGGGAACATGTGAACTCTCATCTTCGGTGTTAAATGGCAGATTTGCTTTGAAATATATTTGAATATTTTCTGCAGACTTTTTGTTAATGCTTTCGTTTCAAAATGTTTTTGAGATAAAACATCCTACAACCAGCTTATTTATTACTGTCAAGACACATATAGAAGTGCACGGAACCTAATTTGAAACGAAAAACACAAAACACAAACACACGCACACACAGAAAAAAAAAAATAAAACAACACCCCGTTTTACTAGACAACGAGTGAACAGACGTCTCAGTCAGGCTTATAATCCTACGTAATTTAGATAAAAAATAAATATCGTGGGAAGGTCACGAACTCGAGTCCTTAAACAGGTATTTCTAGACCACTGTTGTATCTTGCCTAATTTCTCTGCCAAGAATTTGCCTCATCCGACTTTGTTGGTTCAGACAGCTGCTCTAGACAGCGTAAAGAATTTCGACCTTGCGATTGAATCCGAAAGTGACGTGCTTTCACATTTGAGCATCGGCGAAGGGACTAGCACGCCAGAAGATTGTTCCGCGACGAACTAGTGGCTTGACCAGCTGCTGGTTTGCGTGCAGCAAGCCCGCCCCGTTGCGCCTCGGTCAACATGTCCGCGCCCTTGGTGTGGTCGGACGAGCACAGTTTGGGCATTCGGCGCTTTGGTGGTTCATGTCACTTTCACCTGAGTGGTTCATCAGCTCGCGTCAGAGACAGAATGACCTCAGAGTTCGCCGTAGTGGTTGCGTCCATCGTCTTGCTCCTCGTGGGGCTTCTGCTACACGTCGGAGACTCTGCACCGGGCAGACCTTCTGTTTCTGAGATCTGTGCCCAGCAGAAGCCCTTGGTTTGGAATCACGGACTTCGCCATGCTGAATGTAAGTTTCTCACACATGTTGCGTTCCAACAGGATGCGTAGTCACACATAATTGAATAGAAAGGACTAGAAAAAGACATCTCATGAGTCTGAAAACGACATTAAAAGTGCGGTTGTTACAATTGGGTTTTTGAAGGACCCAAAGAAACTGAGTCTTTTTGAGAAACATAAATCGTCCTTCTGAAACTTCCCTAAAAGTTTAGTTTCGTAGTTTCGCATTAAAATACATATCATTCCCACTGTAAGAACCCTCAAGCTATTGGTCGAGTTTAACTGGCCGTGTTGACCATAGTCTATGTCTTGCTAAAGATTATCCTAATACGTTTCACAAGTTACATATCATCTATAGATTATCATATAAATGCTAGTTGGCTGTGTGTATTGCGCAGTGTCCTAATTCAACTTTGGTTATAGAGTATAACTCATATTAAAAAGCCCTAGAATTAACGTAACATATTACATTAATAATTTGGTCATCCATGCAAATAAAACACTGATATTGATATTAACTATGTGATGTATCACTTTTTCCTTCGCAAAATTAATTTCCCGGCCGTCGATACGTTTTTCAGCATTTAGTCCGGAGTCGAGAGACAGACTCCTCAAATGCTTTGGAACCACTGCAGCAAACGGACAGCGGGTAAGCTCTCGACTACCTAACTTAAGATTTTTCGCCGATCCTATGCCTCCAACCAAGTCTGCACCGGAGTAGAATACGCTGCGGCTTTAGTGGCCAGAAAGAAAAGTCAGAGTTTCGGCGCCGCCGAAGCGCGCGCTGCTATTGCCGTGTGTGAATGAGAAAGAACTGCCAATCCTGTCAGCATAACTATAAGAAACCGTAGCAAGAAAGAACGGGACTCTGTTTCTGTGGTGTTTCGCTGAAGACACGTGGAAGTGCGATAGCATTGCTCGTGCTCTATGAAAACTTTGCCTTCATAAAAGGCGATGCCCTGATTAAGCACCGTATACGTTGCCCACACCTCGCCTTCAGCAGCACTCGTTCTATTTTACGACAGAAGGTCGCCTTGCTTCTCGCCTTGCATCTCTGTCCCTTGCCCTGCTTCTCTATCCCTTTATAAACAACATCCTCTCTCTGCTCAGGCGTCTTTTTGGTACGTTTAACACGGTCATACTCAACGCACCGCCGAAACTGTGCTCGGTTATTTGCTCTTCAGTTCGTTTCCTACTCTTGCAATGCATTGCAAAGACCGTGGCATATTCAGTGAGCGGATCGTTCCTCGATCCGCGTATGCACGCAATAAGAAGAGGACGGCTTAAGTACAGGGCGTGTCACTGCAGGTGCGAACACGACTTCGGTGCTTTTTCGAATTTTAGTTCGAAAAGGTACTGGCGCGCCTAGACATTCACCACCAAGGTTAGCACGTCATCTATAGACTTCACTCTCAGAAAAAAGAGGTATATTCTTACACCCCTTTTCCCATATAAGACACCCAAAAACTTCAGTTCGATGTACAGCGCGCTGACGTCAAACCGACGGTACCATCGTTCACCAGCGGCTTGATAACCGATGGGTACAACTTATTGAAGTTAAATGTGCGTGTTACTGACTACAAGAAAAACATTATCGGGGTTCTCTTAACCCGAAACCAAAACCCTCAGTATTTTTTTCCTTCTGCAGTATTTGATACGTACTTCAACTGTTTAATAAGTTATTATCGCACCGATATGAAGCTTCTCTTAAAACTACTGGTAGATGTGGCACCGATTAGTACGAGTAAACCATCTTATCAAGTTTATTGCTTCCGTAGCAGACAACTTCTGACTTCCAGACAGTAGCTGGCTTTATACAGCCAATCTAGCGGGCACAATTAATCTTAAAACAAAATTAAAAAAGACATCCAACGAAATCACCCAAGTGAAGATAGGTGAAGACCATTCTTTGAAAAACGAACTGCTCGTGGTTTTGATTGCACAAATATTGCAAAATTGGTACTAAGGAAATCAAACTACTCTTGCTATTGGCGTGCACTAAATTCCCTCGTTTCTTGAGAATAAGGTAGTACCAGTTTCGCAAGCAGCAAATTCTGCGTGAAAAGTTAGGCACATTTTTTTTTCATGTGTGTACAAGCTCTGACGTATTCTCTTCTATAAAACGCTGTCACATGACCTACTCGGAGGCTTTTATTTAATCAAAAGAGCCGCCCCTTTCTTATTTCTCCAGTGAAACTGATGCTTGATAATACCGACGCTTGAATATGGCTGTGTTCTGTGGGACCCGCAACAAGCGTTTCTTGCCGCTAAAATAGAAAAAAATTCAAAACCGTGCTGCAAAGTTTGTATCGGTAACGTACAATAGAACATCCAGTGTAACAGAAATTAAACGTGAGATCGGTTCGAAATTACTGCATTTAAAAAGAAAGAAATTTCGTCTTAAGTTTTTTTTAGTAACTTAACTAGAATTGATAAATATAAATATCTTAAATTGCCAAAATATTTTTCAACCCGAGTTGATCATTGTAATAAGATCAAAGAAATATTTTCCCGAACTGATTATAGAAAAATCCTAATTTTCCCTCTTACAATAACGGATTGGAATACATTGCCTGCATCAGCATTCACTGCAGATGGCGTAAGATATTTTTTTTTAATTATCCTAAATTTTAACATTGAAGAGATTGTGTTTTATTTATCCCAATTTATTGCATTGTGCCTTGTATATATGCTCGTGATTATGTGTTTATTTTCTGTTTCCCCGCTGTAATGCTTCGGCGCTGCAGGTTGTTTCTGTAAATAAACCCTTATAATACGTTTGGTCGGACGCTCTTGTCGATGACTCTTTCTGTGTTGTAGCGTAATCTTTAGACTTGACGGTAGCTAGCGCTGCGCAGTTCTTCCAATGGCAGGCAGCCTTGAGTGCATTATAACCAGCTGGCATCAGCCAGGCGGTGCCAGCAGAGTGAGCGTCCAAGGTTGTATACCCTGTCTCAGAGCACTCTATGCTGGGAGAGTTTGGCATTGTTTAGAAGAGGCCGACAATGCAGCAACTACATCTGAAAGTAAGGCAACCAGGAGGTGGCTACTTGCCTTAGCCATTTTGTGTTATCGAATTCCAAACCCGCTTTGAATTAGGCACGCAAGCTGTGCGGTGACCCGCCATTCTAATGAAAGTGTTTATCGCTAATGTAAGTGTTTTTGGCGCTGCACAGGTAGTCATAAGCTGAAACTTACTTATCTGCTACGATTTATTAAGATTAGATAACCTTAAACTTATTCTTCTTTTGTGAACAGGGACTTTTGAATACTTTGATTATTAGGACTCAAAAATGACCAAGATGCAGTGCTGTCACGAGCGCCATCTAGAGGAGGCGATGCGAACCCTTGCGCTCAATCACCAGATTAATTTTTTGTTTGAGAAAACCAAAATTTTTGTTTAAAATGAAAATACAAAAAATTGTGTTTACAAAACAAATACTAACCGCGCATTTGGTCTAGCGCGCGTAAGTAGAGTGGCCAAAAGCAAAATCAAGTTTGTATTATCGTAATGTCCGCTTCTTTTAGCGGGCGACAGGCTCCGCCCATCGGCCAATCTCTCCCAGTATATAGGGAGAGATTGACTTGTTGTCTTGTCTTGTAAATTGGCAAAGGGTGACCGATAAGCCCCACATTGTGTGCAGACAGCTTCAATATGCGCTACGTATTGGAGCGCAACGCAGACATATGCATGATGCAGCGAAAAGCTTTATGCTTATTCGCATTAAAATCACTCCGGTGATATGTGGTGATGTTCCGATAGGCCCGCCAGGGCCGTAGCTTCCGCCGTACTGGCATGTTATGTGATCACGGCTTCCTGGCCTATCCGGTATTTCTTGCTTCAGACAGTAGGCTAAGCGGCGCCACCAGAGTAATAGCTCACGTTTGAACAATGCAGCCGCCACTCCCAGGCATACCCAATATTTCTTGCTTCAGTCGCAAGATAGTGCCTAGCCCAACAGCATTGCAGGTTGCCTATAACATCGCACTAAGAAAAAACCGTAAACAATTAAGTTTTGCGGATATTAGCAGCCATGTAGGCAGCCGACATGACAGAAGCAGTACGTAACAAAACGGAGCCCTTTGATAAGCCAGTTTTTTTATCTATCGCGACTAGACCATTTTGTCTGCGTGTAATCAATGCGCTGAACCGACGTCTTTCTGACTGCTAGACGAAATCGCGCTATGCTACCTATGGATGGGCCGATAAGGTCATATCTTGAAAAATAATGTGGTGCAAAACACACACCAAAGGGTTCTTCGAGGTATCTGGGGCCAACGTTTTGTGACCTAGGATGAAAAAATCGATACCTAATTTATCGACGAGCGAAAAAAGCGACGAATTTTGCCCGTCGTGCGTTCGTTCTTCGCGTGGTGTCAGAAGAGTGCCTGTTGCCCCAAGGACAAAGCGAATGCGCCGCTGGGCGAATTTCTTCGCTTTTTCGCCGTATATTCAGTCCACGGAGTGCTTGCTGCCTTAATCCCCGAGTCCCACTAGAGCGACAAACAGAAACAACCCACACCGACAAACCTCAAGTCCTTGCAGCGTGCACGCGAAGGCATCTTTGGCGGGCTTGCAATCCCTCATGCTTACGTCACGGTCACCGAGAGACTGAAAGCCTGCCAAAAGTACCAGAACGTGCGTGTGCACGTGTTTGAGGTTGTTCGGTGTCGGTTGTTTCTGTCTGTCGCTCTAGTGGGACACGGAGGCGAGCTATGGTTTTGTCTGCGAAGAGAAGCGAACTACGGCATTTGTCTGCTACAAACCGTCATTCGCAGAAAAATATAAGTCAACAGAACACCGCACGTAATCGGCTAACAAACCAAAAAAAACAATTCGATTGTCTGCTCGTGAGATTAAACGCAGGTTGAAATAGCGTTCCTCTAATATAACCGACCTCACCAGCTAGCTTTACTACGCCACTGCTCTCACACTGCATCGAGGGAAGTTCAGTCTTTCTGAACGTCTGACAACCTCGCTGGAGCTCTGCGCGTGTAGAGCACGAGACAGCACGAACCGCTTCGTGCACGGCAGCCGGCCTCCTGAGAACCAAAGTTATGTCGATGTCCCGCATGCGCCGAGCGCTTGGTGAGATCAGTCTCTTCACGTTGAAAGCGATTGACAAGCTGTACTTCCTTTACAAATTGGAAGTCGTCATGGTGCCGTACACAAGCTGGCATCAACAAATGCTCAGGACATACGCTTCAAAGAAATAGAAATCTCTCCCTCTATAGGTGTGCTTGTGAGAGGTTCTCACAAAAATACTGCCCGATCGTGGACAAGCGAATGGACAAAAATTCTTCTTCTCGGTCGATTACAAGCGCGCGGTGGGAACCAGCGACACGACGACCAATCAGAAGCCGGGAACGTTCTCGCTCTCACCTAAACCAAAATCGGACCCCTAGACTCTGTTCCACACTGAAGTATACATTTCCGTTAATGTTTATAAAACTCTCCCCTATTGCATGCACCGCAAATTAGAGAAACTGCTTTATCGAATCCAGTTGTTATATAGAAAAGCTCCTTTAATGAGACTTCTTAAAGTTTACCTAAAAAAGGCTTTCACTGTTCGTAAAACTGTCATATTATTGTGGCTCTGGTGCTCCTTTTAGTTTAAGAGTTTTTTTTTTTTTTTTTGAACTACAAAGAGCATTTAATATTTATCAGTAGTACATCATGTTTTCGGTAAATACCAATAAAGCCTGGAAAGCAACCCCCGAGCCTCTCTTATCAAAATTGGGGATAGGCGAAAGCTGTCCTTGGATAAGGTAGAGGAAAGCAAGCTTAACCCCTCTCTCTCCTTGAATATATTAGAGGGCCTCTGTCTCAACACGTAGAATCAGACACAAGAGCAATTCTGGGCGAAGACTTCAACTTACCCGATATTGATTGGCCTAATTTTTTATCCCGTACCGTGGATGGCGCGCACGATCAGGAACTTTTATATATTGCCCTTATTTTTTATTTGTGCCAAATTGTAGGTGATTACGCGTAAGTATAAGGGCATGTGCGCTTTTCCTATTTTACCTCTCCCCCTCTCTTCCCCCAATCTGTTGAAGTGCCCGAATGTATGTAGAGGGCGCTGCAGTCGAACAAAAGGGCGTCGCCCGGAGAGCGTCTATCTGAATGCCGTATACAGGGGGTAAAAGGGGGAGTAGGACGCAGCAAATCCTGGACGCTCACATCGGCGGTTTCGAGAGGAAGAACAAGAAAGAGAGCGACACAAGAGCGGAGAAAGAAAGTCGACAAATGTTAGGCGCGTTCGTTTTGCCCCGACGCGTAGAAGCTGCTCGAGCACTTGTCAACTTAATTTTTATACAGTGGGCCATTCGGGTGTTTTTCTGCAAAGTAAACAAGAAAAGAGCACGGTCCTGCAGTAGATGTTTTACTGCTTCTCCGTGTATATTAGGGCGTCGCCAGCGACATGGGCCCATCGGGACCGCCAAATGTGTCCGCCGATATCCGCGTCTATGCACCGCAGTTCCCAAGCGACCCCAGTGCATGGGACCATTCCCCCCAGATAAGGGGCCTCCAAAGCCCAGCCCGTGGGCCAGATTCGCCCCGCGAAAGCCTTCCCACACGCCACTGGCCGCGGTTATTCCAATGAAACCCGGCACACGGCAGGCTTTCAGCACACCCGCTGCTAGCGGTGCAAAAAGAATGATGCGTAACAAAATGGTGCTTCCACAGGCTCCAAATGCGCAAACTAAGATACCAGAAAGACCAAGAAAAACTGCATTGTAACGCGGGTGCTCTCTCCATATTATTGATTGAGGATTGTCATCACCAGCATTACCATCCTTAGTTCTTTAGTCGCCTACTTTATGTCTATGTAACTATGATAAAATTTCACTGCGCTTACTTTCCTCTGTCAGAAATATTGCATATTGACAGAATGAGATCTATCAATCTCACTACTAATTTGCACTGCGCCAATGTGCTAAATTTTATATGCGATTTGGTTCATGACTGGTGAGTTTTCTTGGCCAAAAGTGTTGTGTAATATCATAATTAGCTAAATATAAAATTTCAAATAAAATGATATGTATTCATCCACCTTAGGGTCGAACTTTTAATGCTTAATGGAACATTCATTTATGCTTTTAAATGCTCATCTAGGTTTATTTATTTGGTCTTTCTTTGTTTATTATTACTTTTTTTTTTCAAAGCCCTCGAGCCTGTGGCCGATCGCTAGTACGGAGCCTTTAGCCAAAACGTTTGTAGACATCTGCTCTAGAATATTATATTAACTCTGTGGCTATAGATTCACTACCATCGCGGGACTACTGGGGCACAATATCTTGAGGAATAATGGTACTTTGTAAATATTCAGTTGTGTATATTTTATCGAAACATTGACGATTGGGTATTTCTTTTAGAAAGATGCAGTGATGGACGGTTTGCGCTTGGAAGCTCTCCAAGCAATACTTCCCAAGGGCACGCCCAGGGACAAGCTGAGCCAGACGGCATGCGTTCTCATGATGGCGCCCACGGATGGAACCAGCGAGATCGTCAAGAGGAAGGCGATCGTAAGTTAAGAAATTAAAATAAGTTATATCTATTCACCATATATAAACATTGTAGGAGCTGAAGGAAAAAATCTGTTCAATCAGCATCTGCTCCTCAGACTATACCTACAGGTTCACAGCAGTGGTGGAGGAAAGAAATATAAACGAATAAAATATCAAGGGGTTTTTATTTCACTTTTGTGGTCGTGATATCTAGGAATGAAAATAAATTTAGTGTTCCCATAAAACGAACCATGAAGCGATAATTGATTCGAATTTTCCCAATTGCCTATCGGCTATCGCTACCTGAGGGAAGTGAAGTACCCCGGGAGAGTAGGGAGCCAGAAAGCTGATTCTTGCTATAAAATTTCCAAATCTAAAGATGAATATATTGTGTCTCTTATACACAAATTGGGCGGTCATTTTATTCTCATCCTTTGCTGCGCCACTTCGGCCTAATCAAGCTCACAAATCGGATACAAGCCCGACGTCCTCATTCGGGCTGCACTCGGTAACAATCAATGCGTCTGCTAATGTTCAGGTTTACGTTCTTTGCCTTAGAGCAGTAACCATGACCAGTGTACAGCATGTTTTATAAGAACTTCTGCTTTAGGCACGTGAGAGCTAGAAACATTAGTAGCGGTAGTCGGAGGGATACACCTGACAGCTTTAAACGAAAACTCCAAGGTGAACGGGAAAAAAAATAATAAAAGAGAACAAGATGTAAAAAAGTGAGACAACCGAGCGTCTTGTCTTATCTTTTATTTCTTGTACTCAACGTCGTGTTTCTGTAAAAATGATTAGTTACCAGACATTGTTTTTTATGTTGGTATCCAACAACTTGCTTTGGACACGCGCCAAGGCGCGTAACCAGAGGAGCAGGCGCCGTTTTGACACAATCTCTAACGACATGCAGGGTGAGGCCGTAAAGACCAGCGCGATTGACACGCTCCGCAGAATAATAATTCTGATTGTACATGCCTGAACTGGGAAAGGAAACGCTCTTTCGCAAAACTTGTATACTCCTTTTTTTGTTTTTTTAGGGTTTAAACCAGAAATGGGGAAATATTAAAAAATGAGGCAGAGACAGCGGTCATGCATTTTCTGTTTAATACCGGATGCCCGTCGTTTGCGCACTAGTCACCGTTAATAAATTTTTCGTTCAAATTATTACTTGTCTCAATTATCCTGCTTGTTGCCAGACTCTACAGGGCGGTATCAGTGTTTTTTTGTGTGTTCAGCAAGCCACCCTGGAGCGAGCTCACAAACAACTGAGCTGACTATGACTTTAGCAGCACACTTCCCCGGCTTATACTTGGGCCACTTCGGCGCAAGCTTGTGCCTGACTTGAGCCGGGTTGGCTCTAGCTCGCGTCCGTCGGGCCCAAGCCTAGGCCGAGGAAGTTTGCTACTTAGGGAGCAGGCTTGTATATACGTTTACTGTTTCCTGTCGTCCTCGGTCACGTGGGCTCCGTATCTGGTATGCGGGACGAACTAAACTCAAAATATTTCAACTTGTAATATGCGATAAAATATTGGTGAGGCAAAACAAGCATGTGTGACAACCACGGATTCTTCGTAAACACCGTTCAGCGGCGTAAAGAGGTGAAAACGATGTACCACCGCATACCAGATGTGACGACATTCAAGATGCCTGCACCCTTGCGGGAAAAGTGTATAGTGCATAAAAATACACGGCCGCGGTATTTGCTTCATTTTTAATATTCTCCACCTCTGAGGTGTGCTCTAAAAGAGACGTACAACTTCTTTTGAAACGACGTTCGCGTGCCCAGTTTCAAGTATGACCGTTTGGAATTCAAATTAGGCAAGGCGTGTCAAGCGTGCTGGTCTTTACAGCCTCACCATGTAGGTGCATGACTGACTGCCCGTTTCGCAATTCAGTCGAGGATGCAAGCCGCCTGCATTTTTGTTTAAAAAGGCAGCTCCAAGGGTCCGTTTGCGGCTTCGCCGGTGTCGCCGTCGCCGTCGGCCTAACCGCGCGTTGCATTATGGGACGTGTCCCATAATGACGCCACATGTGACGTCACGTGTGACGTCACTAGGGTCACGAGTGACGTCACGAAGGTCATGACGAAGGTCATGAGCTTCACGAGTGACGTCACGTGGGAAAAGGGAGGGAGGGAGGGGGAGGAGGACGAGGAGGAGGAGGGGCATACCCTTCTTTCCGTACCCTTCCTTCGCCTCCTCAAGAGCTGCGCTCTAATCCGGCGTTACAGAGAGTTGTAAACGTCTTTGATTTTTTTTATTTCATAAATTATGTTATTTTTTTAACACCTAACGTACCGAGACGATACTTTTGTTTCCCTTTCAGTGCGTTACTGAATGAACATTTGTCGGTACCCTTTGCTTAAAATAACACACGAACGGTTTAGCTATAACGCGTGCAAGTTCGCCTGCTCCTTCGCCCTCTCTATGTTGCCCTTTGATAGGCGTGCTCCCTCCTTGCGTTCCGCTTCGCCATAACGCATTTTGGAACGCTTGCTCGCCTTATGTAGTCACCGGCAACTCAAGGAATACAGTGTGTGGCTGAATATGCTGACGCCTCGTGCCTTCTTGACTTGTCCGGAATTCTCATCGTCTAACACCGCAATCTCATTGGCTGCGGGGTGGGGGTCAGACGCTTGTGATTCGCCAAGTTCTTAGCTTTATAAGCTGTTACTGTCCCCCATGGAGGTAAGAAGCTTCTGAAGGCGACATGAGGCCAGCAGAGGTGAAAACAGAAGTGTGCGCCTTGGTGTGTCAAAACAGCTGTGGGTTTAGTCATCGTTTGGGGAATTTCTCTACCCACTTCTGACTTCACTTCTGGCAACGTCATGTCGCCTCCAGAAGGTGCCTACCTCCATGCTGTCCACACTCTAGAGAACTCTCGCACATCTGCTTTTTTCAAAGCACTGGGAAGAACCAATGGATACAATCTATGCAAGAAAATCGGCGGATGGCGAGACTGACAATGTTTTCGGACCTAAAAAGACCCTCTTGGCTGCGTTACTAAGCATGGCATGTTACGTGCCAAGCATGAAATGACACTAACCAGTGTCATTTCGTGGTCAGTGTCACAGCGCAGACTTTTGTTTTAGATTGAAACATATTTTTGGCTTCCCCTTTCGCCGAGCTCCTTCCGTAGATAGCAGCTACTGATTCTTTCTTCCTAGTGCTTTGCGGGAAATTTGATGCGCATAATCTTTTTGTAGTGTAAAGGAACTTTACCGTTTTGACGTATTTTTTATTCAGATTTTACGCCTGCGCTGGCGCATCTTGTCAGTCTTTTTTTGTTATAAATATTGCTTCATGATTACTTTTTAACAACGATTTGCCAATATCATTTTTGAAAAGCTTTAATGGCCCCAAACAAACCGCGCCATAGCATTTAGGGTTGATCAAAATCCATTGTCAGCCTCTTACGCCTGTAAGCAGAAGGTTTTTGAGTATTTATTATTTTTACGGTTTCCTTTTTGAATGTCATTTCCGGACAAAGTCCTTCGAGTATCTGCTGAAATTTCTTAGCTTAGAATCGTTTTTTACCTAATTGTAATGTATGTGTTAAGTGCAGTTTTGCTTGCGAAAGTTGCATCGCTCTGATTATAAACCTTGCTAAAATGTTCAGGCAAAAAATTCTCATGCGTTCTGTTTTTTGGGGTTCTGTGCAGATGATGAGCTGCGTACAGAAAGAGCTGTCGGCGAAAGGAATTGACACGGTGAGAGTCGCCGGCATTTTATATCTCACGTTCGGGCGTGAAAGATACTCTTTGCAATACGATAACCTGTTGGACGCGAGTGACTAGGACATCAGCAGCGTAATTATAATCGTTCTAGTGATTATGCAACTGACATCCTTCTGTGTAATGAAGTGTTCAATCTGAATAAGAAAAAACACCCTGAAACTGAAAAAAAAAGGACTGACTGTGTTTGGCGACAGAAATAATAAAACAAGCTCCGGACGAGGAGTGTTTTTGCTACGTTCAACAACCATCAGGTCGTTTGCGCCCTAACCTTCTGCTGAACTGTGTTAGACGGTCGTGCTATACGTTAATAAAGAAATTATAAATTTGATATTGAATTCAATTTACAAGTACACCGTTACTTTTTCTGAGTTCTGGCGTGTACCCTGAATTTATGAATTAATGTCATATGAATATGGTTAAACTTTTTAATTGGGTGGTGGCGTACGCCGCTTTGTCAGTGCTCCAGGATGTCTTAATGGCTGGATTTAATGCGAAATAAGTTACGATCGAGTATTACGAATAAGCGAAGCATTTATGTAATTGAGCCTTTTGAAATTTTAGTATATTTAACCATTCACGAGAAGTGTCATTTTTTATTATTGGGCTCTGTCGAATATTCGTCACACGATTGGTATATATCGATGTTTAGTTGTGATATAACTTGCCAAACCATTAGCTCTTCTTTTACTCTCATTTTGGTTTGTTTTGAAGGATTTTTGGTGTAAATCTTATCTACATTTTGTGTGCTGTAAAGTGTAGGGCGCAAATGTTTTACCAGGCACCACGCCTTTATCTCTGCCCTGACGTGGTGGCCCCGCGGGAGGAATAAAAAAAAAATCGAGCTATTAGGTTATAAAATCGCTTCTATCAAACTCTTTCTTGTTATCGTAGGTTTTATATGGAAGGCCTTCGGCTTCCTTCTTATTGTCCCAATTAAACCGATGTACAGAAAATACATAATGCACCAGTTGTTTCTTTTTTTAAATGAGGCTCAGTGTTGGGGAGCGAATGACGCTGCACACGCTGCGACTGCACTGCGGTTTCTGAGGCTGACGAAGCATTTTTGTTTTCTTTATAAACTTTCCCCGGCCGATCTACCAAGATCGTTGGAGTCGATAAAAGCAATTGGCAGCGTCGAATAAACGTTAACTCTGTTGGCAAACCAGACACGCTGCCCATGGCTACGTTCTTCAGAGTTTATTTCACTCAGTACAGTGGCGTCACAAGGGGGGGGGGGGGGGAGGGGGGGTTGCCCCGGGTGCAGCGCTCAGAGGGGTGTTGCGACGGGCCAGAAGAGCGGGGGGAGGGGTTCGGCGGGCCACGCGAAAGCGGTGGGGGGGGGGGGGGGGGGGGGTCATGGCGGGCTACCTCCCCGGTTGCCGCTGACCCTCGTGACGACACCGTCTTGAGGCCGAAATACTTTGGCAAACAGCTTTCTTTAGCCCAGTTGAATTCGGATAGGAGAATATTTTGGCACGCATTTTCATGAACTTCTGAGGTGGGTTCAAGATTGGAAGATCGAAGGCGATTATGCAGTGGCGTGCTTAACTGTGTACGAAATATGGAAACCCTACCTAGGTGAGCTTTGTGAAAATGTGGCTTGTTTCTTCATCGTGCAGAATATTCAAAAGAAGCGTAAACTAGATAAATAATTGTGTTGTTACACAACAGAATAACATAACATTAGCGTTAGCCCTTCCCTACGGATGACAAAATGAGCTTTTGTTATCGAGGCAACCCATACGACAGACTGGTTAGCAGTACCTGAATTTGTTTGTTGTGAATGCTTACGCTGAACAAGCGTGCGATAGACAGCTTGCCAAAACACAAACGCGGATGCGCTAATGTGTTGATTTCCCCTTCATCTTTTGTTGTCGTGCTGGAGTGCCGCTCCAAGCTTTGTCTCTCATTGCGTAAACACGCTCGACCAACTCGACAGCGTAAAGGCTTGGCTCACCTGTTTGTCCTCTGTCTTGGTGCTTCTGACTCACTCGGGTATAGAGAAACAATGCCAAGAGCCGTTATCTCTGCTCAGGCTGTATGCTGTGTAAATGTTTGCTTCGCTTCGAAAACAACAGGCTTCGGTACCCTCAAGAAACACCCCATTAATGAAGGCCATTCGATTGCCGTTTGAGCGGTTTCTTGTGAAAATGCATAAGGCGCAAAAATGCCAGCATTCATTATTTTGTGTCGGCGGGGAGGTACTGAGATGCCTATTTAGTTATGTATATTGAGCATGCATCTATTAAACTCACATTTGAAAATAAACCAGCGCGTTACCAGCGGTGCCGCACAAGCGCGCCAGGCGCGCCTGCCTTTTACCCGCCCTGTCCCACACTAATGACCTTTGTATAAGCGGTGACGGTGATCTGATGCTTTAGAAGAAATTCTAAACGGGAATTTACACTGGGGAGAAATTCCTTGCTTTGCTTCTCGGGTTCTGCATCACGTGGTAACAACGTCCCGCCTTTGCGAGGGACCGCGCTGACGTAGGCACCCCATGGGGATGGGGGAGCTTTTAATTCTCGGGCAGGAGAAACGCTCCCCGCCTTGGCATGGGATCTCCTTGCAATAGACCCTTTCCGAAATTAAATGCCATCTGGTGGCTTAAATGGTAGCTTTTCGGTTTACCGTACACATGACGGTAATCGACCGGCAATCTGTAGTATTTTGCCGGGCACCATCACTTTCGCTAGAGCATACGATAATGTGGTTTTACCTTACAATTCTTTCTGGATCTTTCAGTTTTGATGGTGACGTATAAACAAGCGGTGAGACAGATGCACAAACCCACATTGGCGCCGTGATAAAATTTTATACACCAAGGGGCTTAAGAGCCGATTATGTGCCGCCAACAGACTGACTGAACCCGGGTTAGAAAGGAACGCTTACGCAGCTCTTGTATTCAGTTCCTGCGTCGCATCGTACTAACGTCTCGAATGTTTTGGCCTCGCATCATCCGTTTCGAATCAGCTTTCCCGTTTGCGATACTCAGTAACCACAGGGCCGCCATTAGTACGACGCATATTTCATTCTTCAGATGATGATAGTTATCAAAGTGGCCAGACTGAATTTTCGACAGGGTCTATTGGAGGTATTTTATTCGCGTGTCTGGCAACTTTACAGATTTTGCTCAGAGAGATGTCGGCGGTGGCATCGGGAACGGCTATCTTGCTGTGGCTTGCGCTGTTGAGCATGTCGCCTGAGGCACTCGAATGAGTCTTCAGTATTCATCAATGCGGTCCTGAAGTCGCTCCTCGTACAACTGGTTTTTGATTCCACGTTTTTTGTGTTGCATCTACCCAATCAAGAAGCATCTTTTTTTAGCTGTAAGCAGTTCGTCGTCCTCTGCACCTATCAGTGCTCCCCCATAAACGCGTAGTGCTGTTTTATGTGTGCCTCCCGTTTTCTACTCTTGTCAGCGCGCAAGAGCCCTGTTGTCGAGAGTGAGACCACTAAATGCGTCTGATAACACTGGCTTCTCTCTCAGTTCCCCGCCGTTCCTGTGAATGTTTGAGTCGGGGAGGGAGTCTCTCTGGTTCCGCCGATCACCCATCCCCGAAAAACATCCCTTGTTGGAATACGCCTTAAACCAAAGCCAAATTATACTAATTATCGCATTATTAACGACGGATCGATATCGCATGTGTCAAATTCTTCTCCGGCAATTCTACAATACAGGTGAAAAATTAACACCGGGATGCTTTCTCTGCCAATTCGCCCTGTGGCTATGAGGCACCCAACTGTGTTGTTTCCAGTGACGATCAAGGTACAGCGTGCCCCAAAAACATTACGGTTTGTAGCGTGAGCTACAGTGGCCGAGGTTGAGCAGTTTCGCGTGGCTGCCAAAGAGCCGTGCTGTGCAAGCGCGAGGAGCAGTGACGTCACACGGCGCACAGCTGGCGCCCCGGAGCCGCCGCCGCCGCGCGCGCCTCGCCGGTCTGCCCATTCCAGAGGAATGACGTCATAGCCGCGGCAGACGCGCTGGCGCCGCCGCGCGTCCAGCTGTGCGCCTCTGTTGCGCAGTAGCCAAGTCTGACGCTGCATTGGAGCAGCTTGATAGCGCCTCTCATTTTGTGCGCATAAGCTCACGCTAGTATATCCTGGCATAGCCGAGCTAAGCCACCGCAATTTGTTTTTTTTTTTGTTTTTTTGAGCTCAAAACTAAACTACACATCTGCGGAGCGCTAATTCTCCGCTCAAATGTAGCGCTAGCGGTCCGAAGATGCGAAAATTTTAAAACTAGCCGTGTATCTTCATTTTTTCAGGGGGCGGGGCGGGGGGGGGGGGGCATTTTTTAAAAGCTACAGGTGGACGATATGAGGGAGAAAGGCGGAGTGGGCTGTGCGCTCATCGTAAAGGGGAAACTGTACTTAACCTGGCACTTTCTGTTCAAGATCAAATTAAGGAATCGAAGCCCAGATTTGAAAAAAAGTTTGCTTTAACGAACATTGGTAAAACGAAATAATAAATAAACATTTCTTGAAGTTACGGCGCGTATTATGTGGAGCCCAGAGCTAAATCATTAAAGCGTCAAGAAATAGTGGCATTTTCGCATGCTACATACGTATGGACACTGCAAATGGCAAGCCGAAAGCTATTGGTTTCCGAAGAGACTCTGCAAGCTAATTTATTTGCGCGAGCACTTGCGCAAACAACCCACCTCGAAAGGAAAACAAACAAAAACACCCTAGATAAAGCACGAAAGCGAAATCGGTGCGCTCGCATATTAAAGGGGCACTCCGACATTTTCTTCATAGTCCACGATTGGCCTGATAAACACACCAAGAAATATTGGTGAAATAGTAACACAAATATTGGTTCGAAATATAGTTTTTCTTTTTTTTGCGATGTAATTGAATTTACAGTTTCGGTCCTCACCGTGTTTTTCAAAGCGAAAGTCTACTGGTAGCAATGAAAAAGTGACGTCAGCGCGAGAAAAAGGATTCACTCTTTGGACTGCAGAATTTGTT